ATGATTGAAACCAGTTTAAAGCTGAGCCAGTAAGTCCGAAAGAAAGATGAAGGCGGTCAAGAAGAATCTGGTGGTCAATGGTATCAAATGCAGCAGAGAGATCTAACAGAGTGAGAATAGAGAGTTTGCCATCGTCCATCATGACTCGGACCAGTGCTGTTTCTATGCTATGACCAAGTCGGTAGGTGGACTGAGAGGAAGGATAGAGATTGCGAGAGTGAAGATAGTCAGAGAGCTGAGAGAGTATGAGTTTTTCTATGATTTTTGAGAGAAAGGAGAGGTTGCTGACGGGGCGGTAATTCTTGAGTGTGTTTGCATCAAGTGAGGGTTTCTTTAGGAGTGGCAGGACTATCGACCGTTTAAAAATGGGAGGGAAGAGGCCAGAGAGAATCGAAGAATTTATGATGGAGGTGAGTGCTGGGAGGAGGACGTCAAGGCATTCACGAGTTTTGCAAGACGGAGTTGGTCACTAACGCCCACATACCATGGCGACGAGCGACCAGTCGGGACACATCGCGCCATAGGAGGGGCGTGCTCGTCCAAGAGTGCTCGGAGGCCATCGTCCAGATGCTGAGCGCTGAGCTCAGCACCTAGCCCTTCAAGCATTGTCTTAATGCCGGCTTTGAAGGCTGCTCTGTCTCTAGCATTTATGTCACGCACAGTCCTGTAGACAGGTGGGTTCTTTGGGGGAACTACGTTGAGTGTAGTGAGCACCGCTGCATGGTCAGAGGAGAGCATATGACTCACAGTACAGCTGTCCACCAAGTGGTCGTCATCACGGTACACCACCCAGTCGATGATGTGGCCGCTACGATAGTAGGTGGGCTGCTTAATGCCCTGGACAAGGCTAAACCTTGTGAGGATGTCAAGTACCTTGCTAGTAAGGTGATCAGTAGGGACGTCATAGTGAACGTTAAGGTCGCCCACGATCACACTTGTTCCACGGAGCAGGTTGCAGTAGTCAAGAAGGTCAGGGAGCTCAGAGAGGAAGGTGGAGTTTAGGAGCTTGTTCTTCTTACTGGGGGGAGTGCGGTACAAACAGAAAATGTGGACAGTGTGGGGCGTGTTGAGGGTGAACTGAACAAGTTCTATAGTGGTGTGCTAGAATGGGCAAGTGGAGATGAAAGATACTACACCACTATACAAGAAAGAATAAATGAATTAAAACGCAGTAAATTAGGTTGATTGTATTATCAATTCTAATTTTGTTTTAGGATGCTATTATAAAATGTATTTAATATTTTCCCATGATAGGTTATATTCTAATTAAAAATGTCAAAACAGGTGAAGAAAAATAACAATACCAATGCATGCCTAAGAAAAACAAGACAGAGAGGGAATAAGTACTTTCTTCACTAAAAACAATAAAGATTTTGTATTCAAGTTCAAGATAAATATTTATTTTAAATGAGAAGTTTTGCTAGAAAATTATTTTGATATGTTCCTAGAATTATTTTTTTTACATCATATTTTGCTATATAATAAATACTGATAACTACATTTTCAAATTTCGTCTTAAAAATGTTTCAGACTGAGCGAAAGTTAGCTGAAGACCAGTCATCACTTTTAAATAAAGCCTACAACACACTTCAAAAACCGCTTAGCAGAGCTATTTATTTACTGGAGCTGCAAGGCATCAGCATTTCTGAAGAATCTCAATTCAATGATCCAGAATTTCTGATGGAAATTATGGATTTTAATGAGCTCATAAGCAAAGCTGAAAATCCAAGTAGTGTAGCAGAAGTAGAGACTTTAAACAATAATAAAATACATGCCACTATTCAAAAACTCTCCAAGTTGTTCCACGCAAAAAAATATACTGAGGCGAAAAATGCAACTATTCACTTAAGATACTACACCACTATACAAGAAAGAATAAATGAATTAAAACGCAGTAAATTAGGTTGATTGTATTATCAATTCTAATTTTTTTTTAGGATGCTATTTTTGTGTATCACATATTTTACTCATTATCAAAACAAATGCATTCTTTTGTATTGAGTTATTAAAATATTAAAAATCAGAAATTTTGTATTGCATCTAAAAGCAAATTGGCTCCTTTACCAAATTAAATAGCCTTGCTACTTTGACCTATGATTATTTGTTTGTAATTTGAAAAAGCTATTGTATTTGTATTTATCATTATGTGATTTATTATATAACATTGCATAATTAATTTTTAAAAATTAAGGTATTTTTGGGTTACTGGGAGTATGAAAAGCAGATTCATACACTTAGTTACATTTAATCAGAAATGGGATCAGCTCTGGCCAGAAGTGTGCCATTGATGAACCTATTGCAAACATCAAAGGCTGACATCATGCAAATGCAAGTGTCAAAACAACGTCCCTTCCATAATGGCTGTGTCTTTGTCAACTCAATAAAATTTTCATTAAAAAATAAAAATTGTTAAATTAATAATTATATCAAGCTAGTGAACTGAAAAAAGTTTGGAATGTTAAAGTGGTGTTGTCACTGTCTAAACAAATGTCCTCACAGTAAATACAAAGCCATCAAGATTTATAGCTGGGTATTCTTGATAAAAAAATATATCTTTTTTTCCCCCCCCCCCCCCCCATCCCCAGTTCACACTTGTTGGCATGTGTCTCCTCTCCCCCTCCCCCTTTTTTTTGTGGTCACAAATAGATCAGCCTTGAGAAGAGGTCCTCAATTTTCAAATTTGTAACATACTAGAATATGTGCAGTGGTCCTAGAGCAGGGGTCGCAAACTTAAATTATTCGGGGGCCACAGGAGGTAGAGTCTGAGTGAGACTGGGCGGCATCAAGTATTCCACTAAAAAGTGATTACAAATTCAATAAAGTACTCATCAGTAAGTTTGACCCTGAAATTTTTTTTGTTCAGGTTCATAGTGGAAAAGAGATTTTCACACAGGTACTACCAAAAAGGCACACACTCAGCTTGAGCAACCTGGAAATCTCAGGGAAGGTGGAGGGCAATGCTCTCATAAAGTGTCCATGCTTGTCTGTTTTTCCATTCACCTCCCTGAACTTAGCCTTGAGTTCAGAATTGCACTAAAGATCAATCAGCTCCATTTGAAGCACTTTTTTTTTGGGGGAGGGGGTGGCGCATCTTTCACATTGAAGGAGAAAGGGTCAGCAAAAATTTGAAAAGTGGGTCTGTGTGTTTGAAGTCTTCAAACGTGATCAAATTCTTCCTGTAGCTTTGCAATGGCATCAGTATACTTACTACTGAATGGTGTGCAGAGTTCATGAGTACTTTGCATGTTGGGAAATGGCAGAGGTTTCTCTGAGAAACATAACAGAAGTTTTGTGCAGAATGCCCTGACATTGTCATAGGCCACACTGAACAGCTACTCCTGTGTAACGTCAACAGGAAAAGCCCAGTCCATGTGTCATTTGGGATCACTTAGTACAGGAACATCCATCACATCCTATTCCATGAAGGCTTTGAAGGCTATAACGTGTTCAAACAGTAGACAGGAGCAGGCAATATGTATGATGCGAAGGAAGATGCATTGTAGGGAGATGCCATTGTAGGAAGAATGAATTTTTTTTTTTTTAATCGTATAAAAGTTCTTTTTGACTAACCCTATTTTGAAAGGCTCGGAATTTCCTTCACTTGTAAACACAAGCGGCAATTTTAATAGATTATTTGATACTGTGTCAGATTGCTATGGTTGTGCATTACCCACTGACTGACTTTTTACACTTTTCTCAAAACCGCACTTTGGCCGTCGTGCATGTCTCATAAAATGCTATAAAATAAAAATGTTTAATCAGATTTTAAAACGGTTTTTAAATTATAATCAATGTCCAAATCTAAACAAACATAATAATAAAATCAGAATTAGACTAGTCGGTGAGATTCGACTGAAACCTTCGCGGGGGGTCACATTATAGATATGAGAATGGGGAAAACACGCAGGCCGCATTAACACTACACTAAACTTAATGTCAGGTATCGGGCCGCAATGGCATACGTGCAGTGGGTCTAAAGAAGCACATAACAAAAAATACTACCTGGCAGATGTCTCGGGCACCAAAAAACTCGATGTGAAAAATAAAATTGCAACGGCTCATATGGAGTATCATTTTGTTGAAGGTGGCTAGTGGGGTGCCAACCTCCGAAAATGGAGAAAATTTAATTGCATACAGATTTATTGACATGGAACTTCAATCAAATAATATTGAAAAGCAAAGTGGCGTAATATCTTGACAAGATTCGTTCACTGCATACAGTTCCCTGCAACTCAAATCCAGCTTTGAGTGGACATAGAGAATCACTTCAGCAAGACGATCATGGCTCCATTGTGGGAAATTTTCTTGGCTGTTTGAAACTACTGTCTGTTTTGTAGCCTCACTTGAAAATGAAAGAACACTTGACATCTATGAAAGAACAATTGACAGCTATGAAATAACACTTGACACATATGAAAGACCATGCTGGATCCATGTCCTTTCTCTTCCCTGGTGCTCAGAAAAAAACTCATCCATCTGATGGCTTCCACTGTGGGCCAGAATTTATAGAGATGCAATTGTGGCGCCAAGTATTATGGTATAATGTTTGTCTCAAATCATGATCAAGCACACCGTGAGCACATATCAGTTGATTTTGAGAGGAAAGATATTGGTTTTATCCAGATAAGTCAGAAGGATGCTAAAAGATATGTTCAAGACATCTTGCACCAGCTAGAGAAAGATGAAATGAAGCTAGAGGATTGTCGATCACAGGGCTATGACAATACTGCTTTGATGGCTGGACACAGAAGTGGTGTCCAACTGTCAAACAAAGAATAAGTGAGAAGAACAAGCTTGCCGTGTACGTCAGTTGTGATAATTAATCGCTCACCTTGGTAGGTGTACATGCAGTTAAAGCAGGAGCCATCAATCCCTTTTTGCTTTTTTTCTCTTGTTCAACACAGCATACAGCTTTGGGAAAAACTTGAAAATGCCACCCCAGTGGTTGTGAAGTTTAGAGTCTGACACCAGGTGGAGTGCAAGGACAGATCCAGTAAACCCTGTCAAAACATACCTTGAAAACATACTGCAGAGTCCTCCAGGACATGATAGACAATACAAATGAGACCAGTGCAACAAAAAGTGAGGCAACACAGTCGTATAATTGCACGTTGAGTTATGATTTTCTGACATTGCCGGTGTTTGCCCTGGGCGCCATTAAGTCAAGGTACACCACTTTTTACAAACCCCCCCTTTAGTCCACTTTCAATGAATCCCCCTTTTAGTCTTCTTTGCAGATGTCCTTTAAGAGAACTTATCTTTTTCTTCCTTTAAAATAGTGTTATCCCCCCTTTTTGTCCCCTTTGCAGATGACATTAATGAACGACCCCTTAGTTTAAAAAAAACATATTGATACTATCTGTGGATCAGTAGGTAAGATGCCCTTTTCTTCCTTTAAAATAAAGTGTTATTCTATTTTTGTTTGTTGAAGCTTTTTTTTTTAAAGTAGATATTATTGTCTTGGTTAACAGAAAGATATCTTTTGATGATGATGGATGGTACTAACAAACACATGGATCAACCACTATGAAACAATATCATAAATTAATTCCCATAGCTAGATCCAAAGGTAAAAATTATAAACCGGAATTGGTTGCTTATTATGACTGACATACACATTAATGGCAAGAGATGCAGATACTTGATTTCATCTGTGTGTCATTTAGCTGACATTTCTTAGAAGTTCTTCTGTATTTGTGCTTTTGGGGGATGGGCTAGAAAACTGTCATAAATTTAATATTCCAGCTTATTTCATTAAATTATTTTAATAACTTAAATGAAATGCAGTTTATCAATTTTATTTCTCAACATATTTCATTCTCATTTCCCCGCATGTTCTAATCAATTTGATTTCTGCTCCACATGGCCAAATTTAACATAAGAGTTCATTTTTATGTTTCTCACTGGCCAGAGACAAAAATAAAATACTAGTGTTGAAAGGTTTTACATTAATATTTTAATCATTCAATTATTTAACAGTCATAAAATGTTTATTTCATACCAGATGAAACATTCAAACTGAAAAATACATTTAAGTGAGTGCATTTCAAATAGAACATCAGCTTATGTACTTACAACAACTCAGAAAATAGTGAAAAATCTCTCTTAGTATGTTGAAGTAATTTGAGAAGAGGTTAATTTACTTAAAAAAGAAATTCAACATTGCCAAGAACAAATTTCAAACCACTCATTTCTGTACATTAATGAAAAAGTCTACAATATGATAGTGGTTGGATAACCACTGCTCCCGTGCTTGCAGTAAATGTACACACATATGCACATGTGAATGAGGCAGATAGTTTTGAATGAAAGTTTAACTATGATCATGGGGGATGAGAAATTTCAATAAAATTTGTCATTCTCTCTTTGATAGATTTATTTCATGAATAGCCACTAAATTAATGATGAATGTTTGATTAAATTAAAAAGAAATGAAACAAGGAAACATTTCATGTTAACTACTACAAAAATAATGTTGATGCATCTCATAGCATTATGAAAATAGCCAATGATTTCACACAAAAACAGCCACAAAGTAAATAATTTCACTTATATTATAAAACTAACATGAAGAATTACAAAACATAATGACCTAAGTTCTTAATATTAGTTTAAACAAAATAATAAATTGGTGCTGGTAATTTGTTCTACAGCTGTGAAGACTGGACCTCTACAGGATAGCTTAAACTTTTTCATTTTAAATCTAATTTTCTAATTTATCAGATCTTTAAATTACAGCAAACACAATTTTATGAAAAAAATATATAATTCAAAAGTGAAACTACTTTTTTTGCCCATAATAAAATAATTCAAGTATACTTAGTTGAGTATATTAGATCATCAACTTTATTTTATAAAATAAATTATTATTATTTTTTTTTTTTAATAATTCAGAATTTTTTTTATCTTGAAGCACTTCTTTTTTGTTACAAAAGGAATAGTAAGATATGTTAAAGTTAAATGAATTTTTCTGCAAAATAACATTTTTTTTGGCATGATGGCTTCTTAAAATAAAAATAAACAATACACACAAAAAAATACCAGGACATTTTACTTTATATTCCAGTTGCACTGAACATTTAAGATAGCCTTACTGTAATATAAAATAATATTGCATAACTGATTTTAAAAATAAATGTGTGTTTTCTATTTCTCTAGTTTAAAGCAAGTGAAAATTTAGTATATTTCCTTTACTTTCACATCAATTTCAGCTTTGCCATTTAAAAAAAGTAACAGAAACATGTAAATCAATGAACGATATTAATGTATTCTATATTTCTATTCAAAAGGAATACTCTACACTTTAAATAAAATGTGACAATTATGTTTTTAACAACTTTTTTTTGTTAGAAAAATTAACAGATAGCCTTTTGAGTTCATTTAAGCTTCAGAGACCATACCAATACAATCAAGAGAACTTAGCAAAGCAGGTTACAACCAAATGTATCTCCATTTTTTTTTTACTGATCAAGTCTTATGTCCTCAGTGAAGTTATTTTAATATGTTACTGAATACACTATTCTCTGTAACAAGTTAGCTTTAATTTAATCTCACAAACATGTACAGTTAATTGCTAATTAATAAAACAATTACTTGAAAATTGCTAAATGGCAGGGAGTGTTAACTTGTTAAAGATTACAGAAAAAAATAGTTGTTACAAACATAAATATTAAGTAATCAAGGTGTACTTGTCAATTTCTCTTTGATGACTTTTCTTTTAAATTAAGCTTATGAAGAATTTAGTATTTACTGTGTGTACTCATTCTAAAGCCCTTTCATTTATAAGCTGGCTCCCCTTAGTTTTGGCTGGGAAAAGTTTGATAAGGGTGTAACCTACACATAAATTAACCCCATAAAATAATTTTCAAAAATAGAGGTCTGCCTGTTGTAAAGAAAGAAATCGCTGTCACCTTGTCTTAACAAAAGCGTATATTCTGCTATAAATATCAACCAAATATTTTGCTTCAATGCAGCTCTCATTTTACTTGTATTAAATATAGGTCAGAAGCTGTTTTACGTTATGCAGTGAATATTGGCTCAAGCAAATTAATTAAAAAGTATTTAAATTAAAACTTTATTTTAATTCAAGAAGAAAATAAATAAACAATAAGATAAGCACAGATCTTCATTAATATTTAAATGTTCTGTTAACCTATTTAAATCTTGTAGAATATGACCTTAGCCATCAATAATTTCATAACTGAATGTAGGTATTTTGATACTCTCTAAGTGTACAGTCAAAGATAAAGGTGTGGCCCAATTGACTGCTATTAATTACTTTTTCTTCATTGTTTTCTGTAACAGAGGAAATTACAAAATTCTCCTATGACCTGCTCATATGCCCACCAGCCCACTTATTTACCTCAAGTATTTTAAAAAAAATTAAGTATGTAAGGTAAGTGAAGGCTGCAAGAATGCAACTTGTGCAAATAAAAATTTAAAAAATGCCTATTGTAGTAAAGCCAGATATGTGCAATCAAAAATACCGCACATTGAAGTGCAACAGCCATTATCTTTTCATTGTAGTCCACAAAATTGTGTATAAATTTTATCCAGGAACCATTTATATTAATAAAAATGTTTCTGGCTGCGTAATTTTTCTTTAAATGAGGTTATTCAGCTCTGATTTATGTTACAAATTACAGAGAAGAGGGTTTCAGAAATAATTTTCATTGCTTCCTAAAAAATATAAAATATGTATTCCTTCTTCAATTTATTAGAGTGGCTACTTATTCTTAGCTACATCTAATAAGAATTTCTGTTCTCCAAATCAAATTTTGGGGGTTCAAACTTTGATAAAATCTATTTAACTCAACAGTGTTAAATAATATAACTAAGACAGGGAACACAAGTGCAAAAGATCATGTGCTTCTAAAGCAACTACTACTATGTAATTTTATTTACCCGGTACTCATCAGTATAACTTTAATACAATTAAAATTTGAGACCTTAAATTCATTGTGTATGGTAGGTTGACCACACGTGGTCTTAATCGATACCGCATCTCTAGTTGATATAGAGATGAAAATTTTAAGTTGAGCTATGGCTGAAGACAGGTGAAGACCATTTCTTTTTTGCTTGGCACTATTGAGCTACCCGATTCCCTTGAAATAAGTATTTTGAAACTTACCACATTTATTTACATTTTGTGAGGAGATAACTGTCATTTAAACAAATGATATCCAAAGACTTTCCATCTATTATATAAGATTTTAGCAACTATTATGCATACAACTTCCCCATTAAAAGTGCATCATATCAAGTGATTTAAAAAAAACAAAAAAACTGATACTTTCAAATGGCATTATTTTTGTTTGTTTTAAATTTGCTTTTAAAAAACTAATAAGTAAGTTTTGACTTTGCCCTGTCATGGAACTATTGAGAAATAATGCCTAACTCTTTTAAAAGGAAAGGAAGTAAAATATAAAAAAAACTATAAATTGCTTAGATGATCACTGTCCCTGTTTTTTTTTCTTTTCTTGTGAGCTTAACAGTTGCTAGCTGAGGTTCAAATTTAAAGTAAAGTAAAAAAATAATTTTTAAACAATAAAGGAAAAAACTTCCACAAAAGGTGATGTGTTTCTGCTGCCATAATCTTCAAATTTCAGTAATCAATTTCCACCCTAGTGTGTAAGTGAGCATTTAAAACATTAATGAGGAAATGGTTTTTTTATCTTCTAAATCATAACTCCTCATGTGCAATAAATTCAAACAATAAATTTATTAAAGAAAACAATGAGATGGTTGATGCAAAAAATTATTTTACATAAATTTACTACTGTGAGATAATTTTTAGTGATCGCAATATGCAAATTGCAAAGTTCATATGTATATATTATCATCTCCCTGTATAAAACTGGGTTTGTAGTATATCAGGTCTCACAGAGGTAAAAATCCCTGCAGAATGATTTTTTTTTTTTTTGCAACATAAAAATAAATATTTCAAATGATAAATGGCATAATACATTATTTTTGCAATGTTCAACTGTACAAGAATTTGAGAGGAAACTATGTGCATACAGAAACTGCCAAATGATTGTGATGAGGGCTGACAGTTCCAATTGTTTTGTACAAGCAATATGAACTTACATTAATGAAATTTGGATAACAAGATTTGCTTTAATGTGAAAAAATGGTTTTAATAAATAATTTAGGTAAATGACATTAAAAAAACATTACTAAAAAAATGTGCATTAATTATATGAAACTAACACACAAAATTTTAAATGTACAATTCCTAAAGGTAGGCACTAAAGGAATCATTTAACCTTCCCCCTTTCGGAATGTTGACCCCTCCTGTTTCCAACCCAATTTAGAAGTGTAGTATCTAAATTAATGAAATATGAATTACTAACAATATTTTTAATAGATGTGACAGACAAGA